TTGTTTAGTGCCTCGCTAAGAGATTTCTGAGGCTGGCTTTGAACTCACGATCCTCCTGCCTCAGCCTCCTGAGTTGCTGGGATTACAGATGCGCGCTCCTTTTGGGTCTTTTAATCACTCTTATCATATTTATGTTCTAGTCCCTGTTATGTTGCTTATTAACTGAACTCCTTTGTACATTATGGAAGCGAATACCTATTCAAGGTAGGTTACTTCCTGTGGATGCTACAGTTTTGCACTGTGAACTCATTCTCTGTGCTATTTTATCTCTGAAAATCCTAGGTCACCTGGGTCAGGTGTTTCCTTTTAGAGTATTTTTTTGTTAATATGTTGATCTGGAACCATTATTTTGTTAGCTTCTCCAGGTGATGATTCCAGATTGCTGATAGTATTAATTCCATATCAAACCTATGTATCCTAAGTGTTTAATATTCATCATTAGAAGAAATATTTTTTCCTCCCTCTCAATTACAATTCAGGAAGCCAAAAGCTTTTGCAGTCTTGCCTTTTTGTGCCCATAGATGGATTTTTTCTCACCTGTCTTTCTACCTCTATGATTCTCAGTTTTATGAAGGATCTCAATGCCAGCTCCCACTTCATGTGGGTCTGAGACCTTGTCTCCTGCTTCTTTACTGATCTTTATGCAATCACTTAGGTTAGAGAGATGGGCATCTCTCCCATGATCCCCAAGACAATGGAGAATCTGCTTATGAACTTACTGTTCTATTTGTTTAATTCTTTTCCATTTCTGGCTTTTGGAGATTCACATTTTTATTCCTGTGAGAAACAATACAGCTAAGCCAGCATTTCTAGGTGTTTGTAGTAGGCAGATCTTCATATTACCTTGTCTGTCACATTGCAGAAACTATAGTGTTTAACCCTGGTATATCTGATAGTCGGATATTAAATGCTAGGCTTATTTGATATATAAAAATTCCACGATTTATCTCTTCGATCTCTTTTGCAATATTTTCCTTTGGCCTATTTTCCTGCCTGGCAAAGCTCCAACACTTTTGTCCTGTCTTTAAATTTAACTTTCTACTTTCTCTGAACTTCACTTATAAAGCAGAGCAATGCGGGGTGGGGGACCCATCCACTTGCAGGTTGAGACCACTGCATATGCATGACCTTCCCTGTTCTCTACTGAAAGCCTCATGCTGCTCCGTAGTCCTGGTTTCCCTTGTGAGTCATCCCTCTCATCCTGAAGCTATTTTAAAACCTTTCCACTCTCCTTACCCTCATGCCAGCCCCTTACAAAAGCATTTTCAGAGGATAACCTTACTTTCTACCTCCTCAAGGAAATGGAGACCATGAGGCCAGAGTTTTCTCGAATTCCAGTTTATGAACTGATTCATACTGGAAAATCCTTCCCTGTCCCTTCTTCCTGTTATAAGGAAGAACATTCTCTTCCTTTCCAAGGAGAGTAACCCTATAATTTATCCTGGAAGCCTGGATACTTTTGAAAGTGAAAGAGGGACTCTATTAATAATTATTCCAGGACAACAGGTGTAACCAGAACTGTCCTGGGAAAACCAGGACACGTGGTCACCCTCTGTGCAAAGTTGATCGTCCCACCCGGTCCCTGAACACACCCTCTGCAGACTCAAGAACACATTGCCTTCTCGCTGTATGTTCAAATTTCCTTTCTCATTCCTGATCTAACATTGTTGATATTCTTATAACAATTGCTCCCTTTTTTTTTTTTTAACTCTTTTCCTTTCTCTGCTTAATTTACCACAAACTCCTCCCCATCCCCCCCCTCCCCCTGCCTCACTTATGGTATTTTAGCCTCTTGCCTCCCTTGCATTCTGATACTACTCTTTGACAGGGTCACACAGGCCTGTGCTGTTCATCAGGAGGAGAGACAGCATTCAGTGTGACTCAGTTTCCTAGTCTCTACTCCCTGTGTGGCCTCTTTCCCATTTTCCTAAAATGACACAACTTAGGACCTTCCCCACAGACTATTAGCAATGATTAAATGAAATAATCCTTGTAAAGCATTTAGCATCTATGGAACATTTTAAAATGCTAGCCATCTCCTTGCTTATCCTTGTAGAAAGACTCTGTATGTTACACTTGGAATCTTCTTGACATGAGACAGAGGGTAGAATACCTTTATTTTGCCCTTCCAGAGATCCGGCAGTCGTTTGGAAAGAGAGTTTAATTCCCCCGTGGTAGGATGCTTTTTTCCTGTTTGTTATGACACACCGGGTACAGTGTGTTAACATGCCTGGCATATTTATCCTTGTTAGGTGCTCTCAGGGGCAAAGCCTATCTTTTCCTGGCATGCCCATCTGCAATAAGTGTAGCACAGCATCAAACAGCATTATAAAGCTCTGATTCAAAACAGCCATCACATGGCTATTTGCAGAATTACTACATGACACATACATATATTCATCTGCCCTGACTAATGATTATGGTTCAGCCTCACCTTTGACCTTCACCACTGCCAAGCACTTTTGGGTTCTTCTAGTCATTTCTCTGTTGCTTTTTCACTGGTTGTGAGCTGACCCTTCCTCTAAATAGGTCATGTCTGCATTCTATCTTGCAGGACTGTCAACTATTTCCTCAAGTGGAAGTCAACCTTTCAGAACTTCCAGAGTCCAAATGGAATTGCTGTAATATTCATGTTTTAATAGTAATTATAATTAGAGTAGATACGATTTATTACATCCTTATTATGTTCCTGAAACTGTGCTGTCACATATTTTCGCTATTTTAATAGGGACTAGAGAGGATAGAAATAGACGTGTGAGCTAAAATGATTATCTTACCTACTCTGAGAGGAACTTTTAATATATGAGCTTCTCAGTACTAGCAAGTTTATTGTTTGGTTGGTTTCGCGTTTATTTTTGTTACTGGGAATTGAACCCAGGGTTGTTTGTTGCTTTCCTACTGAGCTGCAGCCCCAGTCCTATTTATTTATTTATTTATTTATCTATTTATTTATTTATTTTGAGGCAGGCTTTCACTAAGATCCAGTGGCTGTCCTCAAAGTTGAGTTCCTCCTGCCTCAGCCTCCTGAATCACCAAGATCACAAGTGTGAACCACCATGCCTGGTAGTATTGCTAGCATATATTAACTGTTAACGCAATGAGCATTTCCATTTAAATGTTAGGAAGAAAGAAGGCAGTATTTAGTCCTACTAATGGCATAGTTAAAAATGTGTCAAGACAAGACTTGTGTAATTGGATTCCAACAAATTAAGATAGGTGATGATTTTCTCTAAGCCAATGTTAAAACATTTTTTTAAATACCTATGAAGACAGTGACCTAAATGATTAGCATTGTATTTTAGAGTAGAGAAGGTTTATATTTGATTTCTTAATGGGGAAACTTCTTTTGTGGAATTTCATACCAGTAGATAGGGTTAATTCTCCAGTATTCCATAGGAAGTTCAAGGAATAACTGAATCCAGGTAGATATTCAATGCATCTGAATGTGTTTATATTTTTATTTAGCTTTCACTGAAATAACCACATTAATTGTTGCATACTAATCTTCTCTAATTCATAAAATATTAAAGTCACTATGCTGAAAGTGTATCTTTTTATGTCCTGAAAGCCTCTAGTATTAACCAACTTCATTCTTCCCTACAATGAGTTAATGGAAACTCTATGAACAAACAGGGCAATGACATACTAAAATGTTGCCTCAATTAGAGGCAAATGTAGGAAATGAGGTCATTAAAGCTGTTGGAGGAAGGGCACAAATCCACTCAGGAAATAAAACCGACTTTAAAAGAGCAAGTAGAAACTGCATGAGTGAGACGGAGGAGATGCCAGAAATGATGGATTTGGGCCAAAGAGAGTCAGAGGGAATCAAAGAGGAAGCCTTGAAGCCTTTCCTGATTGAACTCTAACTTGAGCCAACATGTGATATCCAACATTTTATCCATTAAAGAGAAAAGCAGGAAAATGGGTGGCAATTCCTATAGCCAACACTTACCAAGTACATACAAAGGATCAGACTCTGCTACACACTAGCGATACTTGATTTCATTAAAAACAACAAACCCCACTTTTCAGATGAGAACACTGAGAGCCAGAGATGTAGAATCTGTGGCTTGGGACAGGAAGGGGTCAGTACTCAGTTTACTCACCTAGTACAGGTGGGCTGGTAATTCCTACTTTTAAGCAAAATGGGGTATAATTTTAGGTCGAGAACCCAAATGGACAAGTGAATAGAACACTATGGTTTGTTTGGATTCTGATTTCTTAGTGAAGACTTTTCACACTGAGTTAATGAATTAATTAATTTTAAAAATATTTGACAACATATCACTATGTTGACAACTTATTCCATAATCCACAGAACTAGGATCATTTTTGATTATCTGTTTTTGAGTCATAACTTTCTCATCCCTTTGTGACAGAATACAATATGAAAAAATATTATTTTCCTCTTTATATCTTTCTTAAAAAGTCATTTAATATGCTGAAAAAGTTAAAATTAATATCTCCAAACATATCGATGAGGGAGAATTGTCTAAGCCAGGAAGAAGTTTTAAAATGCTGTTCTATTGTTTTGGTACGATACTGAATTTAGTCAGTAGTAGTCAAAATTACCAGAGATTGAGAGTGATAGATGGAACATCGTTTTATTTTATTTTTTTGTACTACGCATTAAACCCAAGGGTGCTTTGCCACTGAGCTACACCCCCAGCTCTTTTTATTTTTTATTTTGAGACTGGGTCTCACTAAGCTGTTTAGGGCCTCACTAAGTTGATGAGACTGGCCTGGAACTTGTGATCCTCCTGTCTCAGCCTCCCTAGTTGCTGGGATTATAGGCATAAATTGCTGTGCCTATCAGAACGCAGCTTTATACACTTGTGAAAATTTCCTTTTTTAACTTTTCTGTTCTCATAGTATGAACCTCTGAATACCTAGAGGAGTTGAGAGAACTGGACTACCTACATCTCTTCTCTCTCAAGCCTTCCTAGGAAAACATGAGGCCTCCTGACAGCACAGTGACAGGAAGCCTTGTAGCTTCTTACCCTCGACTTCCAGCTTCACCAGTTTGGAATACGCGGTCCCGAGGCTGTTTTTTGCCACACATCGATACTGTCCTGCGTCTTCCTTTTGCACATTATGAATCCTTAAACTCCCAGATTCAAGAACTGCCACACGGGAATTTTCCTGCCAGAAATAAGAATATAAGTTGGAAAACATTCCTAACCAAGGAAACATTTGCTTATCTTATCATCATCATTATTACATAAAAAATATTAGCCTTTATTGGGCATTTATTATGTATAACACACAACATTAAATGCAATAGTGCAAAATGACCTAAATTAACTGTCATAAAAATACAAAAAACAACTGCTTTTGTTACATAGATATCATTAAAATTTGACATTATTTGTTTTACTTTAATATAACAAAGTTTATCAATTTTATAGATTATTTCAGTTAAGTGACATATGGACCCCTGTGTATTTCCTGTGGAATATGCTAGGCATGGAAAGATGGCAAACATATTTTTATAATCTCACTTAGATCATAGCTGTGAAGATGTGAAGATGTGATGTGAAGATGGGAAGGGACAATCAGGGTGCAGTATATTAGTAAATGTGATGCTAAGACACAAAAGCAGCCCAAATAAGCATATAAATAATAGATTTCTTAATTGACTAGTGTTCATGGCCGGGGAAGTATTTGTCAAGGTGCTTATTCATTGATCTTGAGGCTTCTTGCTCCAACTTCTCTCCAGTGTGCTCATTTCTTCTCTTCCAAACTTCACTTCTCTCCCTCCTCTCAAGAAATGTCAATTCTCAAGCTTGGATTTTGGTTTCATTTTTTAATTTTTCCTCTAACTCTCAATGATTCAATGTTAAAATAAATAAATAAATGATTCAACCAACCAACCAACCAACCAAGACCACTGTAGATTTGCTTTGGCTTTGCCTCCTTTTCCATCCCTAACATTACTGGTTTCCATCTCTTTTTTTTTTTTTTTTCCCAAGCCAGACTGGAATGCCCTACAGTTTGCGTAAATAGGAATAGACATATTTAAGTTTGGTCAGAATGTATATGGAAACATTTTTATACCAGGAGTCTGTCAGCATGCAGCTGACATTTTAAAATACAAAAGCAAGGGCTTTTGTATTTTAAAATGCTTTATATACACAATAATCACTTACCCTGAGAGCACTGTCCCCCTTGATCCAGGATACGGATGGCTTGGGATTGCCCATTGTAGTACATGGTAGAACTGCCTTTAATCCCTCTATTATTTTTACATTTATGGGAGGACGAGTTATTTTAGGTTCTACAGGAAAACAAAGGTTCGAAATTAAAAAGGCAATATGACTTATTGAACGTAGAATTTTAACTTTTTATTTAATTCTAAATAGTCATTTTGAGAATTATCTTAAGCATATTGTATTACAAAATTCATCAAATACTAAGACAACTTAGTGGATATCAAAAAGAAATCAGTTTAAAAAGTTTGGGTTACACTCCTGCATATTTTCCCCAGAGATCTAAAATCAGCATACTATAGCAACACAGCCACATCAATGTTTACAGCAGAACAATTCACAACAGCTAAATTATTGAGTCAACCTAGATCTCCATTAATAGATGAATGGATTTAGAAATTGTGCTATATACATAATGGAGTTCTACTCAGCCTTAAAAAGAATGAAATTATGCCATTTTCAGGTAAATGGTTGGAAATGGAGAATATCACGTTAAGTGAAATAAACTAGACTCAGAAATTATCCCCGATGCCAATCCAATAATGAGGACATGGTTTTGAGAAAAAAGAAAAAGAAGCTTTATTGCTTTGCTAGAAATGTGAGGGACTCCTGTCCCAGAGGCTGTGATTCTGCCCATCATGGGGACTTTTTTTTTTTTTTTAAGAGACGATTCAGAGAAAATAAGATTAGGAAGGAGAGATCAGGAAGGAGAAGATCAGGGAGGAGAAGGTTAGGGGAAAGAGAAAAAAAGCATGTCAAAATGACAAGGGATGTAGTCAAATCATCAAGAGAACCCCTGTTACAGTAGGAGTGAGGGAGTGAAGAGAGACTTAGATACTCTTGTTAGAGAGAGAGAGAGAGATGCGCGAGCGCAGTTTGTATCGTCCACTTGGAGAGGCAGGTCATGGTTCCCTTAATCCTACAAGCTGGACAAAGAAGTGTCCATGATCAGAAAGCAACATATTGAGGCTGGAGATTTTAAATGCAGACCATTTCCAGCTAGTTATTGATTTGGGCAGACTGATAAAAAGTTAAGATAAACTTTACTGGACTGGTGAAGGTTAAGGAATTGTGAAGGTCAAGGAATTGTGAAATGGTTAATGGTCCTACTGCAGGGACTGTTAAAATCCTTTAGGATGATGACCCAGGTATAGGGAAGGCTGTTTAAAGTAGGTGACACGATGAATAGTCAGAGAATGGTGATAAGCCCTCCCTAGAGGACAGATTTTGCACAGGCTTTTATAAGCATAGGAGCTTAAAAGTAGCTAGGAGCCTAGGAGATCAGCATTCGTATTCACTAGCCCTGTAGACAGGAGATAGGGAAATGCAGCATCCTCTATTTAACCAGAAAGTGACTCAGAAGAAACTCAAGCTTGAAATGAGGTAAAAGGGTAGAAATGTCCAAAAGGTGCGAGATAAAAGGGTGTTTGATTGTAACAGAACTATGCTTCCAAAGTGCAGTAAATAATGTAGAGGGAAGTTCCCAGTCAGGGTGTGAGGAAATAAAGATCTGTGTGACTATGAGAAAATGGGAGGGGACAGGGAACTAAGAGGGCGGCCTTAGGGTGGTGATTGGTGGCCGGAGTCAGAGCGATAGAATTCACTGGCCTGAAGGCCAGGCTTTGAACCTGAACTTGTCTCACTGCTGAACCACCAGGCCTGTTCCAATTGCACCAAGTCAAGTTTAAAATCAAAGGGAGATTCTCTTCCCACTCACTCATCTTCACTTGCAGGGCCCCGCAGCTCTCGGCAGCTCCTCCCACGCCGTTGTTGGCCACGCAGCAGTAAATGCCGTCATCGCTGTCCTCCACGCTCAGGATGGTGAGGAGCTGCCCATTCTCCCGGATGCTGTAGCGTGTGTCAAAGAGCCTGCGGGTCACAGAGGGAAATGGCAGATCAAGATCGGTGCATTTTGAGGGAAGGGGGGCTTTGATTACCCAATTAAACTGGTGACATTATGGAAGTTGAAAAAAGGCAAAAGGAAACATGAGTGAGTTCTGCATAATAGAATGATTATTGTCGGCAATGCTTTTAAAGGGTGTTGGCTGCTGTTAAGGCCAAGGGTAAAACTTACTTTACTCTGGATAGTATGTCCTAACAAGAGTCTTCTCTCATAGTTACTGAGAAGAGGCCACTAGAAAATGAACACATACACACACACACACACACACACACACACGTGGTGAATGCACTCAGATATTTACAGAAGTAACTAACAATTAATTGAATATTCATTCTTTCATTAAACAAATCCTGGAGGGATTAACAAATGCTGGACACAGCTTTAGTTACTTGAAATACATAAGGAAAAATTAACAATTTGGAAAAAAAAGCATTTATATATATATATATATATATATATATATATATATATTAATTGCATGCAAATTGTCCACTGAGAAGGTAATTAGGGCAGCAGAAAGAAATTTAAGTGGAACCACCAATACAAAAGTGAGTTTGTAGCTAGGTGCAGTATATCAGTAACTCTGGAGGATGAGGTAGAAGGATGGCAAGTTGAGGTCAGCCTTGGTAACTTAGCAAGACCTCCTGTCAAATTTAAAAATACGAAGGGCTGGGGCAGTAACTCTGTGGTAGAGTGCCCTGGGTTCAATTCCTAATATCACACACACGCACGCACACACGCACGCACACACACAGTGAGTTATTTTGGTTTTTCTTTTTGTTTTTTCTTTTGCTTGTTAGTTTTTACAAACACAAAGTGTTCTTTATGCCAAATATCCATTGTAAGCAGAATGACAATTCCCAATGTCTCACTCACCAGAGGAATTTTGAACTTGTTAAGAATAAGAATCTTAACGTGGAATATTCTAGATTATCTAATTGTGCAAGATGCAATGATCAGGGTCCTTTAAAGGTGGAAGAAGGAGGCAGAAGGGTCACAGGAGACATTCCAATGGAGACAGAAGTCAGAAATAAATACAGGTTTTGGTACCGGGAAGGATAGTTCTGCTGCAACAAATATCTAAAAATGGAGATGTGGCTTCACAATTGGGGAATGGGTAGAAGTGGGAGAATTACGAGAAGCTTGTTAGAAAAAGCCTAGATTTCTTGAAGAGGCTGTCAGTAGAAATATGCGTGTTAATGATTCTGCTACTGAGGACTCAGAGGAAGTGAGAGGCATGTTAGAAGAAGTCCAAACCATCTTAGAAGATACCTCAGTGATCATGAATGGACTGTGGGAAATATGGCTGTCAGAGTACTACAGGTGAAGGCTCAGATGGAAATGAAGAATGTGTTACTGGAAAATGAAGGAAAGAGGATCCTTGTTATGTAGTGGCAGAGAGCTGAGGTAAATGGAAGACAAAACTTGTAAACAATGATCTCAGATATTTCGCTTGGGAAATTACCGGGGAATGTGTTCAAGCTGTGGCCTGCTTTCTTTTGTCATTTACAGTAAAATTTAGGAGGGAAAAGAAAATTTGAGGAAGAAATGCTAAACAAAAATGAAACCAGGACTTGATGCTCTGGGAAATTTTCAACCTATCCAGATTGCAAAAGATATTTAAAAACTATTTTAAATATTTTAATTTTGTCTGTAAGTCTCCTCCTTCAAGAACTTCTGGGACAGCCTGCCTGATGGAATACTTAGAAGGCTATAGCACAGGGTGAGTTTCCACATCAGAACAGAATAATAGAAGGAAACATTAAATCACAGTTAGAGGTCAATTAAAAGAAAGATCATTGTCCCATCCAAATTCATAAACCCCCATCTATGGAAACAGGTGTGAGCCCTTGCTATGGATTAAAGTTTATGTTCCTCCCAAATTTATATGTTGAAACCTAATCCTCACTGTGGTAGTATTTGGAGGTGGGGCCTTTGGAAGGTGGAAATAGGTCATAAGAGTACAACCTTCATGAGTGGCATTAATGTTCCTTTAGAAAATACCCAGAAGAGCTCCCTCCCAGCTTCCTGCAGGTAAGGACAGAGGTAAATAATGGCCATTTCTGAACTTAAGAAGTGGGCCCTCATGAAATCTGCTGGCTTCTTGAATTGGGACTCAGAGCCTTTAGAAATGTAAGAAATAAATTTCTGTTGTTTATAAGCCAAGCACTCCCTGATACTTTTGTCCTACTAGCTCAGATGGGTTAAAAAGCATTTGGCCCTAATGCAAGCTATAGAACCTGCTAGAAATGTTGGGGTTCACTTTGTTACACATATTTTAATATAGCATTTTTTATCAGATAATTACTATTAATGAGGAAAGGGATTTTTATCTATTTAATGTGCTTTACTATACATGGTGAGTCCCTCCAACTGAAAAGAATAGACTTGTCACTGCTGGAGTATTAGAACAGGACATGAGACTTGTCCCCATTAATTCCTCAGCAGGTCATGAAATACGTGCCCCACACTTAGGAGTTGTTGGTGTTTCCCAATTTCTGTGAACCTTCTAGATTCTAATCCAGTGGTTTCCCTGACCTCTCTATGTCAGGTAAACCACTGCTTTACTTTAGGAACTTTTCTTAAACTCATTGAACTTCAGATCTTACATTTCTAAAATCAGGCAACTTGTACTGTGCATATTTCAGAAGGTGAACTTTAGTACTGCCAAGAACTGCGGTTGCATTTATATCAAAGATAAACTGCATGGCAGACATGCTTACCAGAATAAGACAGAATACTTACTTGATGAGAATTTTATTTCTGGTCCAGGAAATCTCGGGCTGAGGATAGGATTCCACTGCACACATGAAAGTAGCCACTTCTTCGACTAAGGCATCCACAGTTTCAAGAGGAGTGGTGATGACAGGAGCTAAAGAGAGGAGAAATCAAAGGAGAACATTCTAGAATGTTGTTTACTACCACTTTCCCTAAGTGGTCAGAAATCATCACATACATAAATGAGAATTATTTTTCCCCAGAGCAGAAACTTGCCAAAAGGAAAGATTTTATGTAGAGACCATTGTTTCTACTCCAAAAATAGTCATTTGAGAATCAAAACAGAAGGCTTTTCAGAAAGGAGAGCTTAGAGTTTATTTTATATATGAATAGAAGCAGACCCAAATTTTGTGGAGCCCCCAAGTAATAAAATTTTGTGACTGCCCCCAAACCAAAAAGCAGGAACAGAAGTGAATCTGAAAAGAATTCAAAGTAGAAAAGAACAGCAATCTTAAAGATAATTTTCCCCAAAATTTTATAAAAAATACATTGTTCCCATTGCTGAATTCATGGAGGATTTTAGAAGGGGCTATGAAGCTGAAGCTTCATTAGCTTTATAGAGAATACATAACTGTATATGGGTGGAATAGAAAGAGATTCAATAATAAAAGGATCCATAACCCAAATAAAAAAATGCAGAAAGGATTTTTTTTTTTTGGTGGGAGGTACCAGGGATTGAACTCAGGGGCACTAAACTACTGAGCCACATCCCCAGCCCTATTTTGTATTTTTTAATTTAGAGACAGGATCTCACTGAGTTGCTTAGCACCTCGCCATTGCTGAGACTAGCTTTGAACTCGTAATCCTCCTGCCTCAGCCTCCCAAGCAGCTGGGATTACAAGCATGTGCCACTGCACCACAAACGATCTTAATAAATGATTTTCCAGATTATACAAATGTCCAATGAGCATGTGAGAAGAGGATGAACCATAAAAGAAATGCAAATCAAAACCACAAGATCCCACTGCCCGTTCACTAGGAGGGCTAGAATCAGAAAGAAAGGATGTGGAGAGATTGGATCCCTTGTGCAATGTCAATAGAATTTAAAACTGTGAAGCCACTATGGAAAAGAGTATAGTGGTTCCTCAAAAAAAAAAAAAAAAAATAGAATTATTATCTGATCCAACAATTCCAATTGTTGGTATCTATTCAAAAGATTTGAAAGTTGGTAGTCAATAGATATTTGTATACCATGTTCAAATTGACAATAAGCAAAAGATGGAAACAACCTAAGTGTCCACTGACAGATAAATGGGTAAACAAAGGACATATATCCATACAGAAGAAAATTATTTGACAATAAAAAATAAACAACCCACTGGACATGGTGGCACACACCTTTAATTCCAGCTGACTGGGAGGTTGAGGCCTGAGGATTGCAAGTTTGAGGCCAGTCCCAGCAACTTAGTGAGACCCTGTCTCAAAAGAAAAAATAAAAAGGGCTGGGGTATAGCTCAGTGTTAGAACACCTCTGAGTTCAACCCCTAGTACTGCCAAATAAATAATGAAAAAAAAGTAAAACATCATTATATTCTATAACATGGAGGAAGCTTGGAAAAAAAATAAGTAAAATAAACCAGTTGCAAAGGACCACAGATTGTTTGATTCTATTTATATAAAAAATATCTAGAATTGGCAAATCTGCAGAGACAGAAAACATTAATGGTTGCCTAGGACTGGGTGGGAAAGGGAGAAGAGAAACATTAGGAGGTGACGGTAAGGGAGTCAGGATTTCATCTAAAAAGATGTAATGAAGGTGTTCTAAAACTGACTATGGTGGTGAACGCACAACTCCGAGTTGTATACCTTCAATGGGTAAAGTATATGGTGTGTGGATTATTGCTCAATAAAGCCATTTTGTTTTTATAAAAAGAAAGATGACAGGAAGAGAGGCCATAGATACAGTGCTTCTCTCTCCCCATCTTTCTAAAAAATGTGGGTTACCAGGCTGGGACGTAGCTTTTGCTTAGCATGGGTGAGGCACTGGGTTTGATTCTTAGCACTGCGTAAAAATATGAACAAATAAAGGCATGCTGTAAATCTACAACTATAATTTTTTTAAATGTGGGTTACCTGAATTAAAAAAAAAAAAGAAACAGGAACAAGAGCTTAGAAGAACAGGTTGGGGGACTGGGGTTGTAGCTCAGTGGTTGAGCGCTTGCCTTGCATGCATGAGGCACTGGGTTCAATCCT